ACACACACACACACACACACACACACACACACACACACACACACACACTCCAGCCAGGTGTAGTCATCACACCTGCTCCCATGGTGGAGTCATGGTGACCATCATCTTCTCAGGAGAGTGGCTGTCCCGGTGCCCTGGTGTTCAAAGTAACTCAGGTTTTCTTTGGTGCCTCCCATCCCCACTCTCCTGTCCACAGCCAGGACTCTTGGAATTGTTCCCACTTGAAATCTCCACTGGGGAGACCTCACTTGAGGCAGGGAGGAATTGACTACCCTGCCCAAACCCACAGAGCTGGTAAGTGGTGGAGTTGGAGTACAAACATAGCCCTGAGTTGTGTTCCCAAGCCCCTTCTCAGGCCCCCACTGACAACTGCGCAGGCTATCTTGAGATTTTAGTCTTGTGTTCCCTCTGGAACAATCTCTTATACGTTCTGGTGCATAGTAGGTACTCAGCTAAGATCCACTTAAGAAATTAATCCTTGTATTTACTAATAACTATGGGAGGACTCTACAAATTATAATCCCTTCAGCAGACATTTACTGAGGCAGAGTACCTACTAAGTGCAGAGTCCTATGCCACAGGCGAGGCAGGGAACAGGCAGGGAGCAAAAGACCACTGTAAGAAGGTAAGAATGAGGGGTGCCCCAGTGGGGAGTCAGCTCTCCCAGGTAGTCACCAGGAACAGGAAACAGGCAGGACAAAAGCTGGGGCAAACTGCCCCCTTCACCTACACTCTAGCCCTTACTCGTCATGGCCTTACTATATGACCATGGCATATTACAACTTCTCCGAGCCTCGTTCTCTGGGGCTATAAGATGGGAAGAAATGTCCGCACAGAGCTATGAGAGGGAGCACATGAGGTGTGGGTGGACTAGGCACTTAGCATCTTTTAGGCTCCTATTTCCTTGTACATGGTTGGCTGTGATGGGGAGGGGACTCTGTCTGGGACCATCACGGGACCCTGCATCTTCTGCCTTAAAGGGATGAATAACCTGGGAAAATCTAAAGAGACCCTATTTCTTTCAATTGGGTCAAAGTGGGCCTGTGGGCTTGTGGAGTATCCTCCTTAGGGTCTAGGATGCCCTATGGGACAGGGCCAGTCCCTCTGGTCCCAGAAGCCTCCCCATGTCCATGGTGTAGATGGAGGGTACAAGATTCAGCTTGATGTGTTATGTGTCCACTTGGTCCTCACCTTCTTCCAAAGCAGTAAAGCTGTGCCCAGCACACTCAGGATACACAGCAAACCAGTAAAGCCAAACAGTAGGTCCTCCTGGAGCTTGAATGAAGGTGGCTGGTATGCTCTGTCTGGGTGGGAGGAAGGAGAGCAGGGAGCAGAGAGTAAGTTTCCCAGGAGAAATCAAGGCCTACCTGGCCCACCCACCCTTAACCCCAAAGCCTCATGTTGCCCTTTACCCATTTCTAACTCTACAACTTGTGACCTTGTCAGGGACCCCTGAGACCCTTCAGGGCCTTGGCTATGTTCCTGTGTATGTTGACTGCTACACACTCTAGGAATGGACCAAGTTATGAGCTCCTTTAGTGGCCCTGACTCAGTGAGCTGACACCACTGAGGGCTACTTAGGGGATCCTGGTGAATCATATCATCTTTGGGGGCCTCTTTCTCTGTATCTGAAATCATAGCAATATGAGTGTGTGTTGTGAGGGTTGAGGGACACAGGCTTACACTGGGACTGACAAGGACATCACAGCATGGGTAGACAAGGGCATACTTGCCCTCATCATGAGCCCTCCCTCCACCCTCCTTCCCTGCCTCCATCTGGCTGGCAGAAACTTACATAGGACGACCCACTTCTGGGCCCATAATAATTACATAGCAAGTGCCCAGGCAGCCACCCTCATAGGCCATCCTGTGAAAGAAACATCACTAGAATCTTTGATGGGCAGGGTACTGCCATAAAGGTCAGGCCCAAGGTCACATCTAGGCAAGCAGTAAGACAGGAAGTCCCCATCCCCTTCCAGTGAGACTCACAGAAGTGCATAGAGAAAGAACCAGGACTTTGACCACGGCTTGCTCTTAACTTTGAGGGGTCTCACACTATTGAGAATGATAACTGGGGATTATTTCCAGAATGATGTAAAGCAAATGCTCACTCAAGCAAGATGTCTACAAGTCCCTGTGTGCACACGCCTAACCCCACACTGCTCTACACTGATAATGGGATTCTGGCACCAATGGGCTAAGTGACCTCTCTCAAGTCACTTGTCCAAGGTGGCTAGAGACAGATCCCTTCTCTTTTCAACATAAAGGTGGGTGCCTGGCACACCTGCAGGGCAGGGGTTTCATGGTGTGTGTGGGGGCTTCTACTCTGTTTACAAAGCTGAAAGAGAAACTGTTGGGTGGCCCCTGCAGTTCATTCTCCCTGGAAGGACCCGGGATGAGGCCTTACCTCTGACCAGAATGAAGGTGCCACTGCCCTGCACTGAGATGGGCTCTTGGACTAAGCAATAGTAAGTGCCTGTGGCTGATGCATTTGGCAGACTGAGTTTAACCACACAATCCAGGGTGTGGTTCTCTGCACCAGGACTGTGTTGGCAGTAAATTGGCTTCTTTAAGCTTCTCTTGCCATGGAGATCTTCATGAAAGAGGCTAACAGTGAAGTCCTTGAATTCTGGCATGTCCTGATGGTTGATTCTGCAGCTAAAGGTGACAGCTGTGTTGGCCAGAGAGACCATGATGGGGAGACCGGTGTCGGTCACTGATATCCCTCCTGTGGGGGGAACAACAGGGTAAAGTGACAGCTCACTGGTAGTTTCCTCACCCCACATGTGCCTCCTGTGTGTTGGCTGCACAGGGCGATCCCCACAGAGACTCCATTTCTCCAACATATGGAGGCCAGGCAAGAGCTTTGATGGAGTAAGACTGAGAGTTGGAAGGTAAAGCACTCTGTCAGATTCTTCAACAGGTTGTATGTGAGGGTGGGTAGAGACACACCTAGGGCTGAGGAGACCTCAGAGATTGTGCTTTTAACCCCTGTCCTTCCCACAGTACAAAAAGCACCCACATTTGTTACCCATACAGACCTAAGGAGCCAAATGCTAGTGAATAAATGAAGGAAGGGGGAGTGCAGGACTTCCTGGCCCGGGTCAGAGAGCGCAGGTCTTCCTGCCAGCAGGCAGAGATGGGTCATTCCGGGAATCAGAGCTAGGAGAACTTTGTTAAATTCTCCATGTGGTATTACAAACCATTCCACAGGGAGCAATCCTCCAAAGACGCAGACCTCCTCACAACGTGGCCACTTGGGTCCAATGCCCATCACAAGGCCAGTTCTGTTGGAGCCACCCTCCTACCACCACACTCATCAGAGAACAGTCTAAATACCCTGAAAGCAGCAGCCCAGGCTGGCTGGGCCTCCTACAAGCTTCTGAGATGCTGTTCAGATTTGGAGCAGGGTCAGCAGCCACCACCCCCGACTTTGGCAACACAGGGCTCTCAGCTTCAATATTCCATGCCTCCGGGGCCCTTCCTCTCCAGCAGCTGAGCAGCAGACAGTTTTTAAATTGAGGTCGGCAGCAAGCAGCCAAGAACACGCAGGCCGCCTTGTTAATCGGGAGAAGATCGTGCGTTTTTAGACGCTTAGAAACTCTCAAGATTTATTTTGCCAAGGAAAGTGAGCTGTGGGCCTCCTGCCTGTGGGCTGGCACAAAGCCAGGAGGGTCTCTTCTGGCCTCTTCAGCTTTCCCCTGAGGAAGGGCCCTCAGGGAATGCTGGGCCTTCTGGAAGATTCCAAGGCAGGGATGGAGATGACCCTCCAGTGAATCCTTACATCTTTGAACAGGTTAGTATTTTAAATTTGCTGTTGAGCCTCTAAGAGACACTCCACCCCCTAGAGAACAGGGGGCATTGATAGTGCCATGTTCACTGTCAGAGAGGGACAACGGTCACTTTGGGGGTTTTAACTAAGCTGGTGCCCAGGCCTCTTCCCTGACCCAGGCTTCCCTCAGGCTGGCATTACCCTCTTGTTCTCTGGCCTCTGTTGCGGAGCAGCTGTGGCTTGACTATACTATACACACAATATAATACCAGCAGAGCAATACTGTGGCTTTGTCATCATTAAAGAAGCCTTGATTCAGCCAGGTGGTGGCGCATGCCTTTAGTCCTAGCACTGTGGAGGCAGAGGCAGGTGGATCTCTGTGAGTTCAAGGCCATCCTGGTCTACAGAGTGAATTCCAGGACAGGCTCTAAAGCTACAGAGAATCCCTGTCTCGAAAAACCAAAAAGGAAGAGGAAGCCTTGACTCAGGGTAGAGGTGGTCTGAGATCCCGTGTGTCTGGGTTGAGGAGGCAGGGCGTTATCTCCGGAGGCTGCAGACAGGCTGGCTGGAGAGTACATGAAGCTAGAGCATAGAGTGAACTACAAATGACTGAGACTCTGCCCCTCAGCCACCTGTTGTCACACAGCCCCTCTGCCACACACCGCTGCCTGTCCTTCCATCTGCAGCTGCTCTGCCAGCAGACCCCTGTACCTACAGATACCCTCTCTGTGGCCTATCTGTGCCCCCTCCTCCTGTGCTGCTTACCTGGAGAGTTCTCTGTCCAGAGCCCCTTTACCAGTGTTCCCTTCCTATGACCAACTCCTGAGGTCCCAGTCTCCGTTCCTCAGAGGCCCCCAGTACCTGATCCTCCTGTTGGGCTCTCACTGTGTCCCTGTCAGGCTGCCAGGGTAGCAGAACCTGGCTGGCTTCCCCAGGGTTCCAAAGTGAAGGATGGAGGTTGCAGAAGAGACCTAGAAAGGGGTCACCTCGCCTTCCCTGGGACCTTTTGTTACGAGGTCACTCTAAGACTAGGAGAGTAGACATGCTGTCAGCATGATGAAGCCACTCTTCCATTTTTCCTGACAGGAAGATATCCATCCAATTGTCTTACCCCCCCACCCCCACCCCCCAGCACTATTTTAGAAAATGATGGAATCTGCTAGAGCAATTAAGTCGATCTTTACAGTTCTGGAGATATCTATAAAAATAGATGTCTATTGTTCAACAGCCTATGGGATTTGCTGTTTTAAGGTTAAAGGGTTAGGATCATGAGAATTTAGGGCCTGGATCTGGCCAGCCATAGTACACAGAGATTTTGGAATGAGAACGTTGGGCCTTAATGAAAGTGTCTAATGGGGTGGGGGTGGGGCGGAACACAGCTCCTTCCATGTCATTTAAGCAATGGCAACTAGCCTGGAGACAGCCAAGAGCCAGGAGGAATCTCAATCTGTACACTGCAGCCAGGGTGTCTGACCTGGGGATAGAGGTCTGTCACAGTCCCTCCATTGTGGGGTATCAGCATCCCACAGCCTGGATATCTAGCCCCTTGCCCCACTCCATTTGCCAGTGAGAAGCAGACCCCATTTAAGGTCCAGAGCTGCAGATGAGCTCACAGAAATTGTAAGTCCATGAAACCTTCTCTAGCGCGCGCGCGCACACACACACACACACACACACACACACACACACACACACTGCCAGGCCTGTCAGCAACCTCTGTGTGATGATAAAGGCTTACTAAGCAGAGATGCCTGGGGTGGGAGGAAGGGAGGGTGGGAGGAAGGGAGTACTCAGTCTCTCTAGGTAGGTCAGGAGGTGCCTGGGAGTTGAAGACTTCCTTGACTTGGAGTGGGTATCCAGAAATAGAAGAACATGAATAGAAAATCTAACCTAGCCAGGTATGACATAGGCTAAATGCCAGTCTAATACTGTGAGGCAGTTATAGTAACCCCACTCCACAGATGCAAACAGAAAAACATAACAGAGGCCAGAAAGATGGTTCAGTATGGAGCTGGAGAGATGACTCAGCAGTTAAGAGTGCTGAGGACCCAGGTTCAATTCCCAGCACTCACATGGCAGCTTACAACATGGCAGTTACAACAGTCTGTACCTCTAGTCATGGGGGATCTAATGCCCACTTCTAGTCTCTGTATGCAAGAGGTCCATAGACACATTCAGGCAAACACTCACAAACATACAATAAAAAATAAGATCTCTCCAGGCAGGGTGGTGTACGTCTTTAATCCCAGCACTCAGAAGGCAAAGTCAGGTGGATCTCTGAGAGTTCAAGGCCAGCCTGGTCTACACAGCAAGTTCTAGGACAGCCAGGGCTATACAAAGAAACCCTGTTTCAATAAAACAAATAAATAAAATATCAAAAAGAAAAAAGTGGTTGTTACCAAGCCTGATGTCCTGAGTTTGATCCCTGGGACCCACCTGGCAGGAAAAGAGATCATCTCAGCCATACTCATGCCAAGGAATACACACACTAGATAATTCCATGTTAAAAGAAAATAAAGGGGTCTCTTAGAGGCTCAAAGCTCCAGGATTCATGAATAGTGCAGTTAGTTGTGCCTGAAACGAGGCTTCACCTCACTCTGCTGAGGGGTAAGAGGCAAGTGCCAAAGGCACAGGATGGAGAAGGGGTGGTGTTCATGGAGGAACCAGGCACAGTAGCCATCAGCTGCCAAAGCCAGTCTGTCAGATCCTGGCAGCCATTCTCACAGTCCAGTCACGGACAAGTGGTTACATGCCCTTTGGCTCTAGTCTCATGGAATTTTTTTTTTCGAGACAGGGTTTCTCTGTGGCTTTTGGAGACTTGTCCTGGAACTAGCTCTTGTAGACCAGGCTGGTCTCGAACTCACAGAGATCATCTACCTGCCTCTGCCTCCTGAGTGCTGGGATTAAGGCGTGCACCACCAACGCCCTGCGTCTCATGGATCTTTGAACTTTGGCAGTGTGTCACTCACAGGACAAGTGGCCAAGACATGGAGCTGTCTGGACATTCTCTGCAGTTCTATTCATGCAGCTGTCTTTGGAGATAAGTACCCCAGGAGCAGGACAGAGTGGTCCCAGGATTCCAGGGGGCTGAGGAAGGAGAGGTCCATAGGGTGTGTTTTTGTTTGTTTGCTTGCTTGCTTTTGATTTGTTTGGGTTTTTGTTTATTTGTTTGTTTGTTTGTTTTGTTTTGTTTTTCGAGACAGGGTTTCTCTGTGTAGTCCTGGCTGTCCTGGCACTCACTCTGTAGACCAGGCTGGCCTCCAACTCACAGAGCCTCTTCCTCCCAAGTGCTGGGATTAAAGGCACATGCCATCTCGTCCAGCTTGAGTGGAACTTCCTGTCATTGCAATTCCTAGAACACAGTGCCCCTGACCCTACATGGTTCCCCTCTCTCTACTTCCACCCAGGGTGACCACGTGGAAGGGCAGGTCTGAGTGGGAGAGGAGGAGGATATCCGGTCCCACCCTCCACAGACTCCCAGCTGCATGGGAAGCAAACAAGGTCAGCATGGCTGGTACAGGGTTGGCCATGTGAAGAAGTAGGAATCCTTGGTGATTTTAAATGACCAAAGATTGTGACTTCCTTGGAGTGACACAAGTTAGAGTGGCTCTTCTGGTCACACTCGAGACACCACAGATCTTCAATGAGGGCTAAACTGAGACAAACCTGGCACAGGGATTCAGTCCTAAGAACCTATGTGTGTCTTCTGCAAGGGGAGGGACTCAATACCTCCACTTTGGAGAGGTCAGGAAGGTTGTGGGTACAGGACCTGGCAGGGTTCCATGAGGGCAGAGCAGGGCAGTGGGTGAGAAGGCTGGAGGAGGACTATGAGCTTCCTGTCCTGTAGTGGCTGGGAGCCCCTGCTTTTGACCCAGGTGGAAAGGGAGAGGCAGGAAGAATCGAAGGTCAGGTAGGGGTGTCTCTGGATGGGAACCCAGGAGCCTGTGTGATGGTGGCCAAGATAACAGGAGGGAAGTGGGAAGAATCGAAGGTCAGGTACGTGTATGCAAGTATGAGGGCGACATCTGTCTCTTGATGAGAGAGCCCTTGAGCCTGTGTGAAGGTAGAGGCAGAGGAAACTGAAAGCCAACTTGGGTGGGATGGGATGTCCCTAGAGCAGAGGGACAGCTCTGAGTAGGAGCCTGTGAGCCTGTGACAAGGTTGATGGGATGATACAGGGCACAGAAAGAAGAGATGCTGGGGGGGGGGGCAGGGCCGGCCAGAATCAGGAAGGGCTTAGACTCTGTGTTCTGCTTGGCTTTGTCCCATTTGATCTCAAAGTCCTCTATGCCCCTCCCTGTCCTCACATATAACCCCAACTAGGAAGCACAGGCCATGGCTAAGCCCACTGGCCCTACTTTCTAAAGTAGTTCAGAGAAGATGCACTGTAAGAAAGCATAGACCATGGCCACAGAGTGGAGTGGGATGAGAGGTACCCAGGAACTAGAGGCTGCAGATCCAGATGTGGATCCTGGCTCCACCACCCAAAAGCTGTGTGACCTCAAGCAGGTAACTTTGCTTCTCTGGACTTCAATAGTTCTTTTCCAGCAGGGGAAAAGGAACAGTGCCACCCTCACAGGGCTATGGTGGGACCTCACACTTCCAATTTAAGGGACACACCCACAGCAGGAGCTCCGGGGCCTGTCCAGACCCAGGTTTTTTTTCTATTACCTCAGGTCCTTCCCTGACTGAACACTGGGGTGGGTGTCACCTCAGAGTGTCAACTGGTGGCCCAGTTTGGAGGTGTCCAGCTAGGTGTCTAATTTGTATGAGGGGCAGGCTGGAAGGGTGTTCTCTCTGCTCCTCCCTGCCTGTATTCAGTCTCCTTGGGAGAGACAGCCTATCACCGAGCCCTCCCCTTTCATGGTCTGCTGATGCTGTGACCTCTTCAACTGATGTCAGGGCTAGGTGGAGTCACCAGGGACCTCTGTGCTGAGTCCATGATGGGGAGCAATTTGCAATCAGAGTATCTGCTCCAAGAGTGTGTGCACCTTTCTGGGTGTGGTCTGCTAAACCCCATCCCTGCCATCTTCCTATGGGACACGGTTACCTCCCTTCCAGCTCTTCTGGAAACTCACAGACACATCCTTGTCCCTCCTGATCAAGCACGAGCTCCCCTCTGGAGGAGGTGCAGGAGAGATCAACCCACAGGGTCAAGACAAGCAATTTATAGAGGACAGAACCAGAGGGCACATTTCATGTCTGAACTGGGTTCAGACAGGGTCACCCTAAAACATGCAGCTTTTGATTTGGGGTTACTGTCCACTTCAGCCCCTGCTCTTTGAGTCACCCTCTTTCGGGCTATCCTTCCCGGTACTGGCTTCCCCACACAGCCTAGACTCTTAGCTGCAGTCCCCTTTCACAGATGAAGAAACCAAGGTTCAGAGATAAGATGAGGTTTGCCCAAGCAGTACAGCTATTAAGCAGGGATGAGACTGTACTCCGAGTATCTCTGTGTGGGCCCTCCACCCCGCCCACGCACACACACACACATACACACACTTGCATTCACCATTCTGCTAGTTTCTAAACTGTCTGAGCAAGCAAAACTCAAATGAAATACACTCTTTTACAGGAAACTGGAAGATTAGAGGGCATCTCCCTAAACGTGGGTTAGCAAATAGGCTGACAGGGCTAACAGCATGGAAGGGTTGAGGGAAAGCAACACTCAGAACTGACCTGGATCCTATAAGCCTTAGGGGAGCTGCTGCTGTCAGCCCAGCTCAAGGAGACCCTGGCTCTCAGAAGAGGAAGTGGCCCCATAAACCCTCTATGGAGCAGTCTTGTAAACAAAGCTAACCAAGAGTCCTAGAGATCAGACAGTGGCCCTTTAAGAAGGAGGCAGGTGGGAGGAAAAACCTTGACAAATGCCTACTGAATACAGAGGGGTGAGCACTCAAAGTTTCACCTCACCATGGCTCATCCCAACTCTGCTCCAGCTGCCTAACCTTGCCAGTGAGCTCTCCAGAATCCACCAGCCCCTCCTGAGGCTTGGCTGGCTCGCCCACTCTGCCTGCAACTCAATCCCTCCCAAGGCACTGAGAGTAGTAAGGGCCCAGGCATGCTGATCAAAGGTATCCGCCCTGACTTAGGTCGATTTTAAAGGAAAACACTTTGATTCCAAGCTCCAAAAGAAAGCCGTTCCCACGGTCTTTATGTGAGAGGCCAGGGTTTGCCCTCCGATCCATTCTGGCAGCTCTGAGAGCTGCGACTCTTTATAGGTCCCTGTAAAGAGTCCTCAGGAAGATATAGACTGTGGCTGCTGGTTTGTCCCTGAGCCCCAGCCATGTGCCTGAGTGTGAATCACAGGGCACTGCAGGGCAGCCCGCCAGTCATTCATGATGTGGGAAGCAGTCGCCAAGTAGCTGGTGCAGGCACTGGAAAGTGACCTTTGAATGGTGGGTGTCTTATGGAGTTTTTAGTGCTAATGTTCTCCAAATGCCATGCTCAGATTGCCTGTCATGTCGTTCAACACCTCTGAATCACAGTTGCATACAGATGTGGCTTGGCTACAGGCCCTTTCCACAGCTTGTCGCCATCTCCTTTTCGCATACAGATGTGGCTTGGCTACAGGCCCTTTCCACAGCTTGTCGCCATCCCATTCTCACATTTCTAGACCTCAGACCCAAGAGTGCAGGGTAGCCACATGGAGACACAAACAAAATGAGTGTTTTGTCGAAGGTTTGGTCTGGATTAAGTTCTTAAGTGTTGACTTGGGTTTCTGTAACAGTGGCCTCGCTTTGAGTCCACTTCACAGTCAAGCTGTATGGTGAGCAAGACCTAGGTCAACCGGGGCCTCGATGTCTCCCTTTTTAGCCATCTGTACCCTCAAAAGGATATTAGGATGGGTAGAGATGGCAACAGAGCAAAGGGGTGGGAGCAGGACTGTTTTTTCTGTTTGAATGGGGCATGGGTGAAATGGCTTGAGGATGCCCCCCTCCCCAC